AGAGAGAGAGAGAGAGAGAGAGAGAGAGAGAGAGGGGTGAGAGGAAGGACAAAGAGACGTTACAAGCGCACTGGATGTGCAACTTCTTGCGCAAGAGGTGCTCTGCAGTGATTCATCATTGTTACCAGGAATATTGGGATATATATCGGGGAGGTCCCTCGGGCTGAAAGCAAATGGAGTAGACAGGGGTCTATACCCTCCATCTACTTAAATGCCCCTACATTCCACCAATGGAGGGTACTTACGCGAGCCCCGTTCCCTGCAGTTTTCTGATTAAACTACGTCGATTTCCATGAACGAAACGTACTTTACGCGAGACTTCACACGATTGACTTTACGCTCTTCATCGGATGTATTAATCCTTTCCGGGTGCAGTTGTCGGTCGAGTAAGGAACCATGGGTGCATCGGGGAACCGTCGTTGGAATACGTAATGGAATTTTCGTTGGTTTCAATGGATGATGCATTTTAATCTACAAATGGATGCATTTTAGACGAAATACGGGCAGCCGGTGTCGAATAGGTCGTTGGATAGAGGACTCCAAGTACCTTTCCCTCCATTCCATTAACGTCGAAAGACGTTAAGTAAACGTAAAAGTAAATTTTTCAGGAGAAATGAAACATCGTGCCTAATGGGTCCCAATATTTTGTAGAAAACAACAATGTCTTATCAATTTTCACACTTACGTCTTCCACGAGAAGTCCAGAACTCCTGGATTCTTCGTCATCCTCTTCAACGAGTAACCTGGCGCGTACCGTGCACGTGTCGCGTCTCTTTTTGCCACGCAATTCCTTCCGCATTTTTAACGAGCCCAACGAATCGCCAGGGGTGAACTCGAACGCAGCTGTAATCTCTGGTCGTGGGCCAGCCTCCAATCTGTCATCGGTTTCTCCACCTACGCCGCGTGCTGAATTTCATCTAGCGAGAAGCGTATAAAAATAACCGACACGGCGAACGTGCGCCATATGCGAAGTACGCCATGTGGCAGAGGGTCAACAATGTCACCGAGGAGCGTCTTCACCGTGTGCCGGGGACTAGAAGAAGAATGCTGAAAAAAGGGTGTTCCGCGTTCGTGCAGCACCTGCCTGCCTCGAGGTGAGACGTCGCTAGGACTCTCTCGAGTCTCTCTCTCCTGAAAAGGGATTATCCGTCCTGTGTCCTCTCTCTCTCTCTCTCTCTAACCATCGCGGTGGTTAACCAAAGTGTAACGCGACGATCAAACGTTCTCTGGTCGTCCTTCCCCGTCAAAGGGAATTCTTCTTCCCGGGGCTAATATTGGGCTGGTGTGCGTGCGAACATCTACAGGATCTATTCGTGTGACGAAGTTTGCTTCAGGAACGCACGCGCGAGCAGAAGTTTCCCGCGATCGTGCGGTTCCGCTGGACGATAAGGGTGAAAGTTTTTCCCTAGTTTTTCCCTCCGAAAGAAGCACGACGAACGAACGAAGAATTAATAATTTTATTAGGAAAAATCCCCCAGTGGTTCGGTTCGTCCTTCCAGCCCGAACTCTCGACACTCTCGACGCTATCGCTGCCAAGTTTCAGTTCGCGATAACACTCAGGTAAATTCGAAATTGCCCCGAAGAAAGCTCGTTCCCGGCCTTGGTGTTCTCCCCGCACCTCCCTTCGCAGATTTTATTTCGAGATCCCCGTGGTAAGCGGCGAAAGCGAACACGAAGGATTCTTTCGGGAAAGGATAAAACACGCGTTTCGTTTGTTACAACGAAATCCTGCGGGCAGGGATTCTCGTTTCCCTTATCCCGGGGGCGAGGGAGCCCAGAATGTCTGGGAGGGTCGAACGAGGACGACGTTCACTTAGGCTGATATCGAGTAATACAATTAGCCCGATACGTATGGCTAGATCTAAACGTTACTTCATCCCGAAGCTCGTTCTTCGAATCTTGGGTTGTTCGAAATCTTGTCGTTGTTTAATCTTCGGTTTTCTATAGGAGAACGGTAGCGTCGAAAAGGTTGCCTTTGAGATGAAAGAAATCACGGTCGAACACACGCTGGTATTATATACTTTCGTTGTCCTGTAATAACGAAACCCATGTTCGGTCTATTACGATAATGAGAGTCGAAATCCCGCGGTAAAACAGTGTTTCTGCTGTCCTAAGGCGAGAAAGAACGTCGAGGAGGGATTGTTGAACGAGGGCAAACCTGCCTAGAGGTAAAGTACCCTTCGGTCCCTACTCGAAAAGGGATTATCCAGCCTCGACTGTATCGGTGGTTCGCCACAGTGTAACAGGACGATCAAAGTTCTCGGTGCGTCGTGTCCCGACCTATAAAGGGAGCCTGTGCGCCGGAGGCATCGCGGAATCACGAAAATACATAGACACGCATACACAGACGGTAGGATGCGCGTATAGTCCTGTTGCAGGGCCCACCAGAGAGGGCTGAACCTTGTTATTGTTAGTTATCGCATTAATACTCGACGATGGTGACGGTCTTAGGTATCCGTGTGCGAACATTACGCGGCCACGTCGCTGTTTTGGATCCAGTGTGCACAGCCATTAGCAACGGACCGGGGGTTGTATAGGCGTCCTGTTCAAACACTTCCTCCGTCGGA